GGAGAGGGACTAGGGTTGAGGCATATGTGTGTGTAGAGAATGAAGTTTTCTAGGGAGAGGATGGACTAGACGGTAGCATGGTTGCAAAGTAAATAATCCAGGGAGGAGCAACAAGAAATCTCTGTAAGATGTTGGATGGTCTCCATTTCACACTGAAGAAACTGATGCAGGAACTTAAAGCTCTCATACATTAAAGTAACGCACAGATAGTTTTAAGGCTCAAACAATGTAGTGCCAGGACTTTATATATAAGAAGCAGCCTGAACAAAATGAAATATGCTGGTGGGATGATGCCATTTTAGGCTAGTGGCTGGCTTAGAAGTAAGTGTGTATCCCTTTGGGATCATAAGAAACTGTGGAAGGAGGAGAGCCAGGCAGTGACGGCTCATCCTGTTCCCACCAGGTGTTTTCTGCCAGAATAAGATGAGCTGAATGTCAGAGCGAACCCTGACACTGAATTGAGGATTTGCTGGTCCCACCTGACATTGAAGTTGATGGGACTTGCCATCAAAACACTCCAGGGGCCATGGGACCTCTTCCTATATCATGACCACAGACCTAACATATTCACCCATTAAATAAGGGATTTATGGGAAGAGGCATAGTGTTATGGAAAGAGCCCAGGCTCTAAGATACATGTGGTTCAAACCCTGGTTCCAGGACTTACCAGCTGTTTAATGTCAAAAAGTTACTTGAAGTCTGTCTCTGTCTTAGTTTTCTCATCTGTGAAATGGAGATATTAATGTCTGTCTTGCAGGGTTATCATAAAGAAATCACCAATGCAAATCTGTAGTGTTGGTGCCAGGCATGTAAGAGGTAGCCCAGAAGGTTTTGAAAGTTAGCATTTAGTCTTTATGGCTTGTTGTCTTTTCCAACTTCTTTTGCTGTGGCTCAGAAGGGTGGATGAGGCGATATGGGTGAACCTAATAGATTCTACTGTTGGAGAAGTAACTTGAAGCATGAGTTCTTCAAAGGCGGTCAGAAGCATTATTTTTATGCAGGAGACTACTTCATGACTCTACTAGGTACTTTAAAAAGAAACCCAACAGAAAAAGCCCATGGGCAAACTAAGAGTCTGCAGTCATGTTCTCAACAAAAATCTCTGGGATCCTATAACAGTGCAACTTAAATTCATTTCAAGTCAATATAAAGGTACAGCTGTCTCTGCTGTAAGTCCGTTATGAACAAGGGGCCGGCTGGAAGGGCCACTTTACCTGCCTAATCCTTAGAGGGCCCTTCTCTTCTGAGTCATTCCTCATCCAGCTGTAAACCTACCATGATTCCTTCCTAATTCCAGCTTCTGTGCACACTTCAAGGATCCCCACTCTGTGGGAGATGCAGTGTCCTGGCTGGTGTGATGGCAATGGCCCTGACCCCTTCTTGGGACGCCTCCTGGTTGGAAGCCTCCCCTTGGCCATCCTTCCAGCCAGCACCTCAAGGTATAATTCCCACCAGAGTCTTCATTCCAATCCTGTGATAGAATAACCAGAACGGCCTTGCTTGTATAAGGTTTCTGTTTTCCTGTGCAAGTCTTCTTACATCCCTCCAACCTCAGCAAAGTAATCTGAGGGCACTTCTGGGCTTCCTCAGGAGATCTGAAAAGGGGCAGGAAGAATTCGAGGGGTACCTTTTTATGTCTTCTGTTTACTCCTCATCACTAGCCATACAAGCAGGAGGGAGGATCTTGGACTCTGCACCTGGCTTGGAATGTGGAGAGCGGGAAGGCGAGAAACACTGTTTGAAAAAACAAGGGCCTGGGAAAGAGGGTGCCCTTCACCTAACTCAGTCTGTGAAGTGTCCAAATGTCCTATTGGCAGGAGGCTGGGGCCTCGATACCTCCCCATCCCTGTTTCTATGGAGCCCCCAGCCTTTCCCTCACATGGCCTTCAGCTCAGAACCCTGCAGGCCACTGGAACCACTGCTCATCAGGCACTGGGGTCAGTCTCTCATTGGAGGACACATGCCACTATCTTTTCAGGACACAGGATAGGATACCTTGCTCCATATAAGCTGTGTTGTTCGCAGAAATTAGGCTCTATGGAAATACTAGTGCTAGAATTCAGGCACATTCTAGACTACACATAACTAAACGCTGAGGTTGAAAAGCAAAATGTCTTGCTGCATTGCCTGAAGCAAATCCCTCATTCAAAAATTTCTATTATGTTCCTTGCCCAGTGGTCTATTAATTTCTTAGTGTTTTTCCTGCTGATTTGTTGAGCTTATGTGTCATATAAAACGCTTTGTAATTTTTTTTTTTTTTGAGATGTGGCAAGGCTCTATTGCCCAGGCTGGAGTGCAGTGGCATACTCATAGCTCACCACAGCCTCAAATTCCTGGGCTCAAATGATCCTCCCACCTCAGCCTCCCAAGTAGCTGGGACCACAGGTGCACACCACCGTGCCCAGCTGGTTTTCTTTGTTTTGAAGAAATGGGGGGTCTCACTATGTTGACCAGGTTAGTCTTGAACTCTTGGCCTCAAGTGATCTTCCAGCCTCAGCCTCCCAAAGAACTTAGGTTACAGGCATGAGCCACCATTCACATTGTTTCCTTTGTAATGTGATGCAAACACTTTTTTATTTAAGTGTTACTTATCTTCTCATTAATCGGGTTTGTTTTTTTAACACATGGAAACTTTAAATATTTAGGTAATCAATTGTTTTGCTCTTTTCCTTTGTGACTTTTTCATAATGCTTTTTTTAGCTTAGAAAATCCTTCCCCATCCGTTTATCAGGAAAAAAGTACTAAATATTCACCTTTATGTTATTGGGAGGGGTGTTGTAGATTTTTTTTTTTAACATCCAACTTTTTATTTCATTTCAAATTGATTTTAACATATGGTATGAAGACTTATTTTACCCAAGTAATACCTGGCACCAGGAGCTTAACTGTACTTAGCAGCCATTTACAATTTCCTGCAAAGCCAGATGTCGACTTGGGTGCTGTCAGAGCCAATAGAATGAGGAAGACATGTCTTTGCCCTTGTGGAACCTGCCTTAACAATGAAATGCCAGATTCAAGTGATTTCACAAGCCCATGGCAGATGGTGCCAGGGGAGGCTGAACACTGTCATCTGGCCACAGACATCCCTCACCATGTCACAAAAGGAGGCACCATCGTTAACAGCCTGGCTCACAGCTCACAACTCAGTCAGAACTCCCTCATCCTTTCTCAGGTTGATACTTGGCTAATAAATTGTCAGGCAGCATGAACCTGCATGCTCACCTGATATGCCATTGACAAGATAATCCTAGTTTGATACACAGCAGTGACATGAAATCACGGTTAAAGTTGTTGTTTAAAGAATCAACTGTCTTCTGTTGACATGGGGCCATCTGTTAAGGCCTAGGTTAAAGTCTGAGGTTCTCTGAATTTGCTACAAGTAGGGAAGTAAGATGGTGAGAGAGTAAGACCCACTGACATTTGAGACAGTGGAACAAGTTATTGGAGATGTCATGGCATGTCCTTTGAAAGTTTTTAAAGCCCAGCGTGCCTGTGTCTGTGGTAATTTTTGGAGAGTTGTGCATTGAGGCAGCAAGAAGATCTGGTTCCTCAAGCAAGTGTCACGTGAGAGGAAGCCCTTCCTTGCAGAGCACACCAATTGGCTTCCTGCTGAACAGTGACTCCATCACCTAGGGCTGGATGCAGATCCCACTGAAATTCTCCTTCGAAACAGCGCCTCTCGGCCTTAAAAAGAAGGAAATCCCGTCATTTGCAACAACATAGATGAACCTAGAGGATATTATGCTAAGTAAAATAAGCCAGGCACGGAAGGACAAATACTGCATGACCTCACTAATATGTGGAATCTAAAAAAGTTGAATTCACAAAAGCAGAGAGTAGAATGGTGGTTACCAGGGGTTGGGATGGGAAGATATTGGTCAAAGGATACAAAATGGTGACTATAGTTCATCATAATGTATTTTGTACTTGAAAATTGAGAACAGACTCGATTTTAAGTGTTCTTACCAAAAAAAACAAGTATCTGAGATAATGCATATGATAATTAGCTTGACTTAGCCATTCCACAATGTATACTTTTATCAAAATATCATGTTGGACACCATAAATAAATGCAATTTTTTTTTTTTTACCTGTCAAAGAAAAGAAAAAAGAAAAAACAAACATTGGGCTGTGGAAAACACACTGTCCTCAAGTAAATAAGAGAATATTTGCCGTGGTGTCTTTTCCCAGCCAAGGAGACACACCCTGGAAGAAGTTCCCTTGAAAGATATCAGACCAGGGTGAAATAACAATGTGGAAAATTACTTCATTGTGTTATTGTGTAAACTGGTTTGTGGAGCATGAAAGGTTCTACACACAAGAAGTGACTCACGCTTATTGTTTTTCTTAAATAGTATGTCCTGGACATTTCCCAAGAGCAAAAATGCAACATGGGAGAGTAGCAGGACATTTGTGCTTTTGACAGTTTTATGAAAGAGTCTTGAAAGGGAGGCTATTGAGGACTGTAGTTATAATTACCAATTTATAAAGACTGTTCATAAACCACGAAGAAAGGCTGCCAGTCCACCCACTTGCCTGCGTTCCAGAGGTCACAGGAAGTAAAATGAACTAAATGAAGGTGTATGGTCAGTATAACAATGTGTGATCGGTACAAATGAGTATTTGAGTGCCTTTAAAATGTGTCAGGGGCTATTTGCAAGTTTGCTTTATAAGAATAGAAGCTATTATATTCTTGATGTGTGCTCTCTGACTCCAGCTCAAGTTATTTAGTGTAAAGCTTTCTTAAATATTTAGATCTGCAGACTTCATGGTGATTAGGAGCCTTTTTGAAACAATCTGCATGTGTGAAAAAATCATTTTCTCTGCAAACATAGAAAAGGTCTTTGCAGTGGGTTGAAAGCAAAGGAAGGAACTTGGCTTAGGTGATCAAACAGGCATACTACAGAGTGTTCAACCTAACTTTCGTCAACGATGTAGCAGGATTTTATGATGAGAGTACTATCATCTAAAAATTGATGTTTTATTCTTTTTCCTTTTAGGAAAAGCTATGTCTACCCCACCACATCCTTGAAGAAAAAGGCCTGGTCAAAGTGGGCATTACCATTCAAGCATTACTAGACATCACCATAACGAAGGCTCTATTCACATGAAACTACCCCTTCTCCACTGGGGGCTCAGACTCTGCTGTCATCCAGGATCCTGAACTCTGCTCCAGGCACCTGTTTAACCCTCTCTCCCACCCACTGCCTGTCACTTCACTGACTCCAGTTACATTGAAACAATTTTCAGTCTAAGGGAGGATTTTCTACCTTTCAGAGCCGACCTCCGACTTTAAGACTTGACAGGTATTTATCTTGAAACCAGAGAGGGAGCTGGAGAAAAAAAAAACTGAGCAGCACATCAATGCCTTTTCCACCCTCCTTCATCCTTTCCACACTCACCAACTGCCATTACCAAAATGCCAAGCACAACCGTTTTGCAGCAAGATGCATTCGTTTTATTAAAACCAAACTCATCATGTATTTAGTCGGGGGTGGGGGGAGGGGGGAACAATCAGGTTTTTCACCACCAAATTTTTCAAGAAGTTTCTTGAGACCATTGCCTTTTACAAAACTATTTTCGACATACAAAATATTTATATAAATATTATTTATTAGTGAGTTGTTATTCATCCTTTGGATGCAAATTGTAAATTAGGAAACTATTTTATTACTGCTTTTTTGTGGTTAAACACTTTATTTTAATATTATAAATATTGAGTTATTTTCTATCCTCTTTGGTGTGCGGTAGTTTAGGTCTCAGTAATCATGTTTCTGGTGTATATGATTCCAAAAAAAAAAAAAAAAAAGCAAAAAACAGGTGCTTTTGGGACACAACTTTTCTGGGGAGGCAGTATTGACACTTTGGTTTGTGGAACGTCAGTCTTATTTATATTTCTGCATTCCATCCAGTTTCCTACATTCCAGCAGCCCTCTGTCCCCCAATATAACAAACTGACTAAAATCAAGAGAGCACCCCAAAGTTATTTGTAAATAGCTGTGATGGAAAAAAAAAAGACATATTAAACTTGAAGATAAAATGTGAACAATTATTTTTTGGATTCATACTTCTTTTGCTATGCACAAAACATTCACGTTTTAACACAAAGAAATAGTAAGTGTTAGCGTCATCTGTCTTGAAGTATACTTTTGCACTGTAACTTGGGTTACATTAAAGAGAGCTTTGCACCAAAGGTAGATAATGAAGAAATGGTATAGGAAAGTGGAGATGACGAAAAGTTGATTGTTGAACCAAAAAGGATTTGAAGGGAAGCTTTGACTGAGTATCCGAAATTACTTAAGGCACATAGGACCTGAATCAGGAAACCAGCACTTCTTACAACTGCCAGTTTTAAAAGAGGAAATGATTCTGAGATGTGCTTATGTTATTTTAATTTGGTGGTTGGTGGTTTTCCACGTAGTCTGTAAAATCCTGCAAGATTCACAGTCTCTGGTGTGAAACCTCAGAAGTGAGACATTGTGAACCTGTGGGCAGTACCACCAAGGCAGGCTAAGGGGAGGGTGCAGTAAGTGGAGTTTGTGAGGCTGAGTGGCTGAGGAGGGAGCAAGTGCAACAAAATAGGGCTAGAGAAGAACCAGCCAAGGAATGGAACCCATGCTGCTCTCAGAGATTCACAGATGGCTTCGCGGAACACGGCAGCCTTCTGCAGGCAGTTCCATGCATGCGCACTCACGCTGCAATTACAGCTGTCCCAGGAATTAACCTTTCTAAGTCTTGCGAATGCTGACTGCACTTTCACCTCCTTGAAAAGCCATTAGAAGTTTTTAGAGCAGCAGCAGGCACAGTTTGTAAGACAAATGTAGAGGGGGACGCAAGAGAAAAGGCACCACCAGGAGGAGGATTCAGTGTGCAGTCAGCACAGACCAACATCAACCAAGACAACGGCTGCCCTCCGCTCTTGGGAAGATGGGGGGAGATTTCTGAAAACAGAAATTTGGATTGGCAGCTAGCAGTTATTTCCTATCAGATGTACTGTGCACTTTAACCTAACTTAAAATGTATTTTAATATTTTTCTGTACTGCACAAATACCTGTTTTGTCAAATAGCATAATGATGTAAAGAAACATTTTGGACAAAGAGTGTATACAATTTAAGCAACATTCAAAAGTTGACTATATAAGTAGGAATTTAGCCTGCTGCACCTTCACGGGCATTCAGAATGCGGGGTCCTGAAATATTTTTTTACGTGTATATATGGTGGCATGAAGCTCTGTAATCATTGTTTCGAGAGACTTTTTTTTTTTTTCAAAATTAAAGTATTTCTTTTGATATTAATTTTTATTATTTTCTTGAAGTTGGCTGTGTAATGTAAATGGCTTCAGTCTTCTGTAAAATTGCTTTTTTTTTTCTTTTAAATGCCGTCCGTGTATGGCTAAGACGTCTTCAAGATCCTTGTACACTGTTTATATGTGCAATAAAATGCATGGCCAGCTGACAGTACCATCAGTGGACAGAATGTATATAGTGCAAATATCCTTCCTTTATTATTTAACAGCCATTAAAACTTCAGATTTGTACAAACCACTTTGTGATTGACTTACCCATCAAAAAGGTTGACCCTAGTCACACACACACACACACACACACACACACACACCCATCATAGGGTGTCACTGCTGAAAGAGATTGTAGCAATCATGCAATGTATATATATGTATCTGTGCACATATGTATGTTATATGTATGTATGTGTGTATGGAGAAAGAATATATAGTAATGCATCATGTGACAATCTGATAAATGTGTCAGGTGATTTCATCATTGTGCAAACATCATAGAGTATATTTACACACTTAGTAGTATAGCCCACCACACACCTAGGCTATGTGGCCTGTTGCTCCCAGGACACAAACCTGCTCAGCATGATACTATACTGAATAATGTAGGTTGTTGTAACACAATGGTTAGTATTTGTGTATCTAAACATAGTTAAGCATAGGAAAGGTACAGTAAAAATATGGTATTATATAATCTTAGGAGACCACTGTTGTATATTTAGTTCATCATTGACCAAAGTGGTGTTATGTGATACATGACTGTATATTCATGTATAGCTATCAGAAGAATGACTCCAGCTATCTGTCGACACACACACACACACCCCTCACGATACTCTTTTTTTTTTCCTCCTAAACTAAAACTTATAGCATAACATAACAGGAGTAGCAAATTTGCTATGATGGATTTGGGGTTCAGGTGATGCCTACCTGTTTTTTGGGCATATTTGAGAACACTTAAGATTCCTTGACCCATGTTGTAAAAACCACAGAATCTGGGCCTCCCTCCTCAACTGTAATATCTGACACCCAGAGAATGAAGTGGTAGCCTCAATTACACCACTAGATCTGGGCCAGTCTTGTTTTCCCTATATGGCTAGCCTTCCTTGGGTAGAGAGCAGCTGCCTTCAGAAATTCAAGTGAAAATAGTAACAGATCATTTCCATGTTCTCACCCCACCCCACATAAAATATACACAGACCGGATTCCGCTAGCCTGAGCAGGGCCTTCAGGGAGCAGTGTCAGGGCCGTTGCATTTAAGATCCTCCTTCATTGAGTTAGGACACTCTACACATAGCTCATGGTGTTTTCCTTTGAGGTGCTGCAACTGTGCCAAATCCCAAAATCTTAGATGTCCCTCTACATATTACAGAAGTCCAGCTCTTCACAGACACTTTCCATCTTAAGCTTGCTGGAGCAACAGGGAGATGTGTAATTTATTGAGTAGCTACTGTGGGTCAAGTGTTATATCTCAACTGTGTGCCCCATTAGAACAAGGCTGCTTGTCTGTTTTGTTCTTTGCTGATTCGCCAATGCCTAGAACAGTGCAGCAGTGTCTACTGAAGAGGTGAATTAAACTTTACATACATTAACTCAAAAACTTACATAACCCTGTAAGGAAGAGATTTGTAGTGGACACCATGGGACTGTCCACTTAACACCACATACTCCTAGGAGTAGGAACTACTCCTGCCTCATATACCACAAGGGTTTGTGGCCCACACATAGCGCTGCCCACCTGGCAGAGGCTCAGCTAGGTCAGGTCTGTACCCTCACTGCACAGAAGGACTTCCCAGCAGAGTTGACTCAATTGAAGTTCCTAAAGTCAAAAAAAAAAAAAAAAATTCCTGGGCAATTATTGGAATGTTTAAATGTAGAAAAGCAAGCACATGCACGTGCTAAAACCTGATCAACTGAGTCTATCTGGACTAGTTTGAATGCTAAGACATATCAAGGCCAAACCACAAAGCAGGATAAAAGGGATTTACTGAAGAAGCAGCCTCTACTTTCAATGCCATTTCTCTCCTTGAATTTAATTCAATATTACTATATTGTTGTTTTATTTTGGAATCTTATCCCTGTTTATCAAAGTGATGCATGCTTAATATAGAAACTTTGGCAGGTAGAAAAGAAGTTGGGGAAAATTGTCCAGAATTCCACCTTATAGGGAATGATTAAACCTCTGAGATATTTTCTTTGAGACATCTTATATATTTTTACACACTACAACTTTACATATTGACCTTTTTTCTTGTTCATATTAGATTTTATAAATTCCCTGAACCCCCCCAAATCCCCACTGGGCAGTATTGTTTACTATAGGCAAACGTGGAGTTCCCTGGAAAGGCACTGACAGAATATTTTAGAGGCTTCCTTTACAAGTATACAGACCTAAAATAAAGACATGGGCCCTTAGGTCTTTGAGGGGCACTGGGAGCCAGCTTTGGAGTGAGGGAGGTACTGCAGGAAAGAGAAAATGGCCAGTAGAGGGTGTGTTCCTAAACCAGCTCCACAGGGAGTGACTGAAGCCCCGCCCTGCAGGAAGCTCTGGGAAGTGGCACAGAATGTCTCATACCACAGAGGTATCCCAGCCAAGCTCCCAAGAGAGAACTGACATATTTACACACACACACAAAACTTCCCTCAACAACATGCCTAGAAATGTGTAATAAAATAAACACATACTTATTTTAATGTTTTGTTTATCATAAGAAAATTAGGGAATTCCCTACAGTCTCTAAAGAGGGAGCTAAAACTGCAGATAAAGACAATTCTAAAAGCAAGGACAGATTACCTATGGGGGAGAAAAGTACGGCAGCAGATCTCTCAGCAGTACAATCAGAAGCCAATCAATGATGATCTGTTTAAAGGGCTGAGAGAGGCCGGGAATGGTGGCTCACACCTATACTCCCAGCACTTTGGGAGGCCAAGGCAAGTGGATCACTAAAGGTCAGGGGTTTGAGACTAGCCTGGCCAAGATGGTGAAACCCTGTCTCTACTAAAAATACAAAAATTAGCCGGGTGTGGTGGCGTGCACCTGTAATCTCAGCTACTTGGGAGGCTGAGGAAAGAGAATCACTTGAACCCTGGAGCAGGGGTTGCAGTGAGCTGAGATTGTGCCACTGCACTCAAGCCTGGGTGATACAGTGAGACTCAGTCTCAAAAGGAAAGAAAGAAAAGAAAGAAAAAGAACATAAAGAGAAAAAGAAAGAAAAAGAAAAAAGAAGAAAGAGAGAAAAAGAAAGAAAAGAAAGAAGAAAAAGAAGGAGGAAGGAAGGAAGAAAAAAAAGAAGGAAAGAAAGAAGAGAGGGAGGGAGGAAGGAAGGAGAAAGAAGAAAGAAGGAAAAGAAAAAGAAAGGGAAGAAAGAAAAGGAAAGGAAGGAAGGAAAAAAAGGAAAGAAGGAAAGAAGAGAGAGAGGTAGGGAGGAAGGGACAGAGGGAGGGAGGAAGGAAGGAAGGGGAAAGGAAGAAGAAAGAAGGAAAGAAAGAAGAAGGAAGGAAGGGAAAAGAAGAAAGAAGAGAGAGAAAAAGAAAAAAGTAAGGAAGGAGAAAAGGAAAGAAAGGGAGAGAGGGAGGGAGGGAGGGAGGAAGGAAGGAAAGAAAAAGGGAAGAAAGAAAAGGAAAGAAAGAAGGAGAAAAAGGAAGGAAGAAAGGAAGGAAGGAAGGAAAGAAAACTGAGAGAAAATTACTTAATATTTTGAGACAAAAAATTCACTATCAACACACTTTCACTGAATGATGTATTTCAGGGTGAAGGTCTAACCCCACACCCCCCCAAAAAAATCAGTGGCCAAAAGATAAACATGTAACTATGTGTGCATATCCAAACAAACATTGGCTGTACGTTAATGATATTAATGTCTAATTTAGGGTAGGGATTGCTGAAAAGCAAAACAAAACAAAAATAGAAAGAAAATGCTGGCCAGGCTGAAAACCATGGCGCGAGAACTGCGTGATGAATGTACAGGGTTCAGTAGCCAATTCAATCAACTGGAAGAAAGGGCATCAGTGATTGAAGATCAAATGAATGAAATGAAGCGAGAAGAGAAATTTAGAGAAAAAAGAGTAAAAAGAAAGGAACAAAGCCTCCAAGAAATATGGGATTTTGTGAAAAGACCAAATCTACGTCTGATTGGTGTACCTGAAAGTGACGGGGAGAATGGAACCAAGCTGGAAAACACTCTGCAGGATATTATTCAGGAGAACTTCCCCAACCTATCAGGTTGATCTATCAGGATGCCTATTAGGATGATCACTGATGTGTTCCTGTTCTTTTCAGTCCGTCACTAAGCCCCGCGGATCCTCCCTCAGAAATATCTCTCAGTCCCAGCATCTCCTCTTCCTCCCTGCTACCTTAGTGCCTGCCCTCTTCGGCTCACCCTGGGTAAGTAGTCAATGACTCATTTGTCACCTTGTCTCCCTCCTCTTCTTTCTCCCTTCTCTGCTGCTACAATAATATTTAGAAAAAGCAAGTCTTGGCCGGGTGCGGTGGCTCACGCCTGTAACCCCAGCACTTCGGGAGGCCAAGGCGGGCGGATCACAAGGTCAGGAGATTGAGACCATCCTGGTTAACACGGTGAAACCCCGTCTCTACTAAAAATACAGAAAATTAGCTGGGCGTGACGGCGGGTGCCTGTAGTCCCAGCTACTCGGGAGACTGAGGCAGGAGAATGGCGTGAACCCGGGAGGCGGAGCTTGCAGTGAGTCAAGATGGCTCCACTGCACTCCAGCCTGGGTGACAGAGCAAGATGTGTGGAAGGGAGGGAAGGAAGGAAGGAAGGAAGGAAGGAAGGAAGGAAGGAAGGAAGGAAGGAAGGAAGGAAGGAAGGAAGGAAGGAAGGAAGGAAGGAAGGAAGGAAGGAAGGAAGGAAGGAAGGAAGGAAGGGAGGAAGGAGGAAGGGAGGGAGGGAGGGAGGGAGGGAGGGAGGGAGGGGAGAGAGAGAAGAGAGAATGAGAGAGAGAGAGAGAGAGAGAGAGAGAGAGGCAAAAGCAAGTCTTATCATGTCTCTTCCCTACTGGAAACATATTCAGCACTTTACTATTACTCACACAATTGATTTTGGTGCCATGTTTGCCCTTCCCAGACTGTTCCTGTTTTACGTCTAACACCGTCTGCTGCAGCCACTCCAGTCTCCTCTTTCCAGGTGGTCCCATGTCCTTGTTCCCTGTGCTATGCCTGCTGCTTGGAATACCCACTCACCTCTTCTTGACTTCATGAAGTGCTACCTGGCCTTCAAGACAATGTGT